TTCCTTGGATGAAATATTAAAATTATTAGAAAAGTTTCAGGCTGCAACCTCCCCATTGTAAGTGAGCATTGCCTGGGGGGGTTTTAAAATCTGCTCCTCTCTCTCTCTCTTTCCAGGATGCCTGTGGCAGTGAGGCCAAAAAGGCTTTGAATTTCCTTGCCTTGCAGCCTCACTTTTGGTTTCCCCCCTTGTGTTGAAGTCTCCTGTCTGTCTCCCCTCAGTGTCACTAAAACACAGGAGCACCATTGCCAGGAGTTTCCTACCTGACAAACTGATAGGTTCCAACAATCAGCCTCCCTGATCAGAAAAAATACAAATTTTGCACAGATACCTGCTGAATTCCAAGTCTCAGTGACAAAAAAGTGCTTTTCAATACACGCCTGCTCAAGCAGCTCTCCTGAAGGGATGATATGCAAGACAGCATATACATATATGTGTATATACACGTCTATTTATATCCTTACACTCTCCCATTGCACATCTTCCACAGTTCCTTTTCCTATTGTAATGTGCTAGTTCCTCCGGGTACTGTAGTGTGCTGCAGAAATACACTAGGCCTGACAATCAAATCAGTCATTTTAGTCTCTTGCAATATCCAAAAGTCCTTCAAAAAGCATGTTTTATGGTAGTCTAACTGAAACCCTAAAGATTTTTTTTTGACATAGATTTTTATTATTTAGCTAATTAGTTGTCTAGAGAAGAGCCATCTCTGTATAAAACCTTGGCACAGTGGAGTCTGATCCTTCAAGAAGGAGCCTCTAAAGTGCTACTCTGTGATAAAAAGCTAAATAAGAAAAGGTGTTATAATTGACAGTTCGTCAGTGCTTTTGGTTGAGAGCAGCAATTTTTGCTACCACTTACATTTTGGTACATTTTGGTTCAAATATTTTGATATGTCTGATAGCACTGTTTCAAGTTTTACATGCAGATTTTGCCTCCAGTCAAGCCTGTGACAGCCACCTCCTCATTTCCCTTCATCCTGCAAAATATCCTCCAGCAAGCAGTTGATCAGAGAGTGGCAGAGGGCAGGTCCAAACCTACAGAGATAAAAACTGCAAGATACCACGAAAAAGCTTCAGGATCCCCACGTCCTGTGACTCTAGAAACAAAGAACAAGGCATAGCAAGGTGCTGAACGGAACTGCACTCGTGTTTCTTGCTGTTGTTGAAGTAAAATTCTGTCTGCAGTAAAATAATTTATAATTAAAAAACAACATTCTCTGTGGAAATAAAGTTTACAATACTACACAGTTCTTCAACATAATTCACACACTAACACTAGGTGCACTTACAATATTTATTCAGAATTTTGTTAAATTATTGGATGAGGAAATATATAATATTAAGCATTCTCAGACATTAAACAAACATACCAGTTTCCTATAACAGATACTCCTGCTTTTGCACTACATGATAAAGCAACACCACAAATGAAGAGAGAAAAATTTCATCAGGAAAGGAGGGGGACATTTCTCAAAGAGAAAGGTCACTAACAGGAGCAGTTCTGCTGCAAAGGAGGTGGGTTGTCTGTGAGTCGCATGCTCCTTCCAGAAGTGCCCCTGGAGGGGTCGGATTCTAAGCTCTCCGACATCTTTTCACAGATTATATCCACAAGACGCTCAAACACCTGTCTTACGTTGATGTTTTCTTTGGCACTGGCTTCAAAATAATCAAAACCTGTGAGAAAAAGAGCAAAAAGTCAATCAAACCTGATGATATGAAGATGATTTTTTAAATACCATTCTAGATGCTACAAGATGATGATATTCAGCAATAAGGAATGTAAAACACCTAGCTAGAAAACATTAATCTATCTAATACATAGTAGTGATGCCATTATTAAGTTATTAATGCTGGAAGGAGTGCCTTATAATGAAGGGAGGAGTAAAGAAAAAAGGAAGAAAGCTTTTACACGTACCTAACTGATCAGCCAGGTGTTTCCCTTTCTCCAAAGGAACAGTTCTTTCATCCTCCATGTCACACTTGTTTCCAACCAGGATCACTTGTGCATTGTCCCAAGAGTAAGTCTTGATTTGCGTGGCCCTGTAGCAGGACAGGAAAGATGGTTACTTTCCATTAGCAATGCCAAAAGGCCTTTATATATCAAATATGAAAACAAATACCAATAAACACAACATCCACATCTAAAGACTACATGTAGACTAAAAGACAAATGGCAAATCTTACATATAATGCAAGAATACTACCAGTATCATTTATAATTACATTTTATTTCATTACTCCTTAACTTTGTGCAACAGTGAAGTTTCTTTCTATGAACTCTAAAATGTTTTAAAGATCTTAGGAACTAGACAAAAAGCTGAACTGAATTATTTTTAAGGTCTAGGGAAAAAAAAGACACACCTTCTTCTAAAGCTCTTTTTCCTATAACTGTAATCTGTTGGAGGCCATACAATCAATCATAGCTCTTAAGGGCAGCTCTTAAGGGTACGGTCTTTACAGGGAAAGCCATACAATACAAAAGAAAGTCTTTGTACTAGATTTACAATTTTGTGTAAAGCATGTAACACCACTGATTCAGAGCAGGCAAAAAGATAGTCATTTGCCACAACAAATAGCTGTATTTTGGGAGTCAAATATAGATGGAAACAACAAATCATCTTTCCATAAGCATGAATTATGCCATAGAGTGTGAAAATTGCCTAGATGGAAAAAATCGCTAAACAGAAACAGATTTTACCAACTTGGGAAGTAATAGGCTCAAGGTAAGATTTTGTGAGCTAGTAGACACAGCTAGACTAAGTGATAACTAAGGCAGAACGTGCAAGATGCAGTAAGAGACAGCAAGTACCTGACAAACGCTGACACTGCTGTCAGAGGCATCATGTATCGAGCAGGACCTCTGCTGCTATCCGTGCCTCACGCTGGCACTGGGACAGAACTCTCTGTGGATCCAAGGACACGTCACCTTGTATTTGGCCCCTGGCCTTGCTACAAAGCTTCTATGATAAGATGGAGTTTTGTTTCATTTCTATTTGTTTTTACATTCATGCTGAGGGGTTGGTCTCTTCCACCAGCCCCAGCAGCAGAGCCGCGTTAGCTCTCTGGCACTCGTTTCCATGCATTTTTTTGGGCTGGCCCAATGTATTTTATCTTCAGTTCTCTCTTTCAAGCCTCCCTCCTTCCCAAAGGCACTCAGGCTGTTCTGCCAGAAGTAACTACCAGCTCATTCTGCATCCCTCTTCCAAACACTGCTCTTTGTCCCTACATCCCCCCCTTCCATGCAGGACATCCTAGTTTAATGGAAACCTAAGATTTCCCTGAAGAGGCAGGATTCTCCTCAGATTTTTACTTCAGTTTGCTTGAACTGCCCTAACAACAAGGCACTTAACTCCTTCGCTTTTAAATTAGCAGCAGACTCCAGGTCAGATTCACTAATGACATTTTTTTAATTAGTTGTGAGTTGCTTTGCCATATAAAGCAGCTGGTCACATTACTCCATGGTATCTGTGAAACAGGGGGTCATCTCACTCTGCAAACTGCCTTGAAGAAGCACATATAGTTTGCAGTGGAGAACACAAGTCTGAACCAAACACAAGCTCTGCCTTACACTGCAAAATGCAAACATAAAAAAAAAAGGATTTTGTGCAGTGAAACTTAAACTTCCTAGTAAAACATTCACTCCAAGTGCCATTTTGGCTCCTCCAATTTCACCTGAATGTCCACATGTAGACTAATCTCATCTTGCCACTCTTCCTCTATAAGCAAAGGAAGGAAAGTCGGTCTCCCCAGGTTCGGTTCAAAGCAGCAGTCACATTCCTGTTCTGCACCCTTCCTCTCCTTGGGTAACAGCTTTTCAGCCCTGACAAGGTCACACGAGGATTTGTTGCCAAATCTTAGTTATCTACACAGAATTATTTGGAAAAAGCACCAAATATCTCCCTGAGAATCTTGACCTTCTCTTCAGTGATTTCATACAAGCTGGTGAAAACCCTCCCTCCCAGAATGTGCCATTTACACTTACTATTCGGAAAAAAAAAGAAAAAGTCCTCAATAAAGTAGAATGCCTAAAAGCTGATCCCCATCCAAAAAGAATGACAATAAATCTCAAGGAGCTCCAGGAAAGACAAAGGGAAGAAGAAAACAAAACAAAACCAAAAAGAAGCTTCTGTAACTGAGATGTTTCAGTAGCTGTCAGAGCAGTATAATATGCACTCCAGAAAAAATAATCTGTGTTCCTGTGACATGACAGCAATGCTATCCCCTACTTGTGAATTCCACAAATTTATGATGAAGCACTTTATTATTGCTTCATGATTAGGAAAAAAATAGTTTCAGGTTCACCATTACATAGATAAAACAACCACCTCATTTAGATATTCATCTTAAAAATAAATACAACTATTTGCAAGCTCAACCACTATCTAAATCTAATTTCAATTTAATCAGTTTTTCTATCTCTTTTATGAAATTGCCTAGATTGTCCAAAGCACAATTTCCACAATGTTTTCTATTAACTATATCAAATGCTGAGTTTATTTCAGTTTTATTACTATTTCAGATGAGGTGTAAAACTAATTTATCTCCACAGAAAACTATCAAGCCAGGATCATATATTAACAACCAGAGGAACCTACCTAGAAGGTCTAGAAACTGGCCTGAAAGCCATAAAACTTTAGCCCTCTTACCTTACAGGAACAGCATCTTATTACTCAACCAGAACAAGAAGGGTTTTTTTTTTGTTTTCTTTTTTCTTTTCTTCTCTCCAAACAACAGCTAAAATCTACCTTTGCTTTTGCTTATTTATGCTTTTTCTTTCAAAATAACCTGACAGTACTCTTGACACACTGGAATAAGAAGAATGCGTCAGACCTTCCCTTTTACATCTTCTCAAACAGTCTAGCTTTCCCAGTGAAAGAGCAAGACCATGTCCTAAATATCCCCAAATGCATTAAACATTCTCAGCTACTTTAAAATAATTGTCATGAATTGCAATGATCCATGTGAATGAAGGAAAGGCTGTACCTTGGGTTCATAGATTATTTGAGGAGCTTGTCTAAATCCATGATTTACAAGTACTCATGAAAAAGTGCCTTCAATTGGTTTAGTGTAAATATTTTCAGAGTGATGCAGAGCAAACTGGAATGCCGCTTCTAGGATGTCTAGCAGAAAGCTCACCCAAGGAAGGACCCGTACGGAAGATATTCTCGCTCCTCGAGCGGGCAGGTGTGGCCAGAGCATGAGGATGCTCAAACAAGCACATTTGCACGAGCCAGGGATGAGAGGTAAAACACACCACACATTGGTGGCAGTTTTTGAGGGGACACTGGAGCTCAACAAAATGCTTAGAGAATAGCAAGGCCATGGAACACAATCTGCTATGACAATTTCTGAGATAGAGGACACAAACCCTAAGATACTAGAGAGGTTAAGAAGAAGAACTCCTTCCACTGGTACAAAGTTGATTTTGCACAGCCTGGATTCCTGTAGTTGCAGAAGAAAAGCATTTGTTATGGGTGAGAGCTTACTTGGGGTGCTAGGTCTCTGGTTCAGGAGTTTGCTCAAGCTTTTGGCTTGGTTTCTGTGGGGAACTCTGCGGGAGGAGATGGTACAAGAGAAAGCAGTGAGATGGGCTGGGACTCACAGTGACCAGCTGCCCACACAGCGTCTTAAAAACCTCAATCTCCAAACTGCCACAGGCCAGATACCATCAAGGAGGAACACACATTGGCCTGGAGAAGGCCCTCATGTAGAACACAGGGATGGCTGCTGCCCGCTAGAACCTCAATCTCCAAACTGCCACAGGCCGGACACCATCAAGGAGGAACACGCATTGGCCTGGAGAAGGCCCTCATGTTAAACACAGGGATGGCTGCTGCCCGCTAACTCAAATCGTAATGAGGTTTTTGTGAATGGGTGCAATTTTAAGAGCTAGGAATTAAGTTCATATGGAAAATTCTTATCAGCCAAGGGCAAAGGGCTGGGATTACCAGCAGCCAAAAGTTAGCAGAAGGGGTACCACTTTGTATGTGATTATGGGTGACTCTCTTGACACGTGCTCCTAAGTTTGGCTGCATTTGCTTAATGATTCCAGTCCCCTGATCATGTGGCAGGTGAGTTATGTGCAGAGATTTATTTTAAACCTTTTGATTTTAATAAATGTATGCTTAGGCAAAATATGATGAAAGAAATTAATTTAAAAATTAACTTGAATCAGATGAAATAGTGTTACTTAATTCAAAATATTTAGCATTTGTTCTTTTTTTGTTTTGTTTACATAAATATATTTTCATTTTTAGGCACATTCAGCTGGCTTCCCTGTGTAGGTCACTATACTGGTCCCATCAGCCAGCCTGCTGCACCATGCTGCATTTATGATAAACATTTAGCTTAACAGTATTCTTCACTTAACTGTACCAGGACACTGAAAAATGCCTCACTAGCCAGCTAGACTAACAAGGCACTCAAGAGAGAAAGGCTGCATCAGAACTGCTGCTGCTCCATCCTATCTCAAGCAGTGATCAGAAGCACTGCAGGAGAGCGAAGCCTCCCCGCTTATCATTAAACACACGGGTGCCCTCTCACACTTGAAGAGAGGACCAGGCTAATGGATGTGAAGGCCCTGAGCAGAAAGAGCTTTTGTTCAACTCAAGTAGTAGAGAGTTATTTTCCAGGGTGGGTACAAAAGTCAGATGAACTTGCTATCCTTGCAAATGCCAGGGCTCATACAGCTGCATCCACAAGAGACAAAAGCTTTTGTTGGCTTTTCTTGTACCCTGAGAAATTTGGAGAAGGGAAAAAGCATCTCTTGGGCCATGGCCGCTAGAGGACTCTGCCCACACAGCTATGCTGCCTGGGCCACACTCATCATATCTCCCCTCCTGTGGATGAGCTTCAGAAAGGCAGGAAATGGGCTACCCCAGGCCCATTACATTTGCCCCACTGCGTTATTTGGCCTCGGAAACTTAAATCTGATGGCTGAAAAGATTCCCGACATATCGAGTCATCACCAGCAGTGATGGTTCACCTCTGTCCTTTCGCTGCCAAGTTCTTCTGAGCAGAGATGTTCATGCAGCCCCGTGGCAAAGGAAGACATGAAGTTAAGCACACAAAGCTGACCTTTCCTTATTCCTACACCCTTGCACCATTGCCTTTGGCAGAACAGATGTTAGACCATTTCTGATGCAAAGTTCCAGGTTAAATGTCACCTGCACGAGCTTGAAAACGGAGTAGCTCATGGATTGAAATTTGATATATTTAACTGAAATGTTGCATCTGTATAAAAAGACTGACATTTGTCTGGGCTATGCTTTTCTAAACGATCCGGAGAAACACCACATTAATCCCTTATGCTTATATACACTTCAAAATAATCCATATGACTCATATCACCTTATCTTCATTCTATCAGATTTCAGAAAACGTGGCAAAGCATGTAGAATAAAAACAGCCTGAAAGTTAGAGGCACATAAAATAAATGTATGTTAAACTTGGATTTGATAAAATCCCAAGCCAAAAATTCTGTAGAGATTGTTAGAGACCATGGGCACCAAAGCCAATAGCCCTGAGCTGTCTCTGGCCTCTTGTGCATTCACTTACAAAGATGGGTAAAGTCAAATGTTTTTAAGAGCAGTACTTACAAATGACACAGAATTTAGGAGGAAAAAAAAAAAAACACCTTTAAAGGAGCTCTGCTCTGATACAGATAGCACATTAAAGATTTGCTTTTGTTAAACTCACATGCGAAACTTTTATAATTAAGCTGGAATCCTCCTCCTCCCCAAAATTTCCATGAGCCACCTTTCTCCAAAGCCCCTCATCATTCCTTGTTTTGGTGACACCGCAACCCACGTGCTTGCTGCACGGCTGGCTAGCAGACACAGTGACTGGCCAGCTGGACACTATCCACCACAAGAGATAACAGCTGAATTTTCCTTACCATTAAGAAAGAGCTGTCTTTTAGGACATTTCTTCGCCCCAGTCACAAGTTTTCACCAAGTGTGGCTGAAGCTATCTTTGAGACTTCCAGCCTTTTACTAAAGTTTGTTAGGTTGGCAAACCAAAGTAATCAGAGAGAAATCAGTGAACTAATGAACAGTGTGAACTTATGTAACTGGTATCCTCCTGAAACCAGACTAAAAATATTTGAAGTTTAATGAAAGATATTCTCCTAGCTGCACTCCTAGGGAAAAAAATCCCTTCATAGGCACATTTCAAAGAACAGTGACTGCACCTGAGTCTGGAAGAGAGGGTGCCAAGTGTAGTGCCATGTTGTTTTGAACTATAACCTGCAACAGACGAATCAATATAAAATTCAGACTGAGCTTGATTCTGTGAGCCAGTGCCATGACTAGCTTGCTTTCCTGGAGAGGTTCCTTCTGATCTCAGTTAGGTAAAAGAATTTTAAAAGTCACCTACATGCTGCTGTCACACGCTCCAGGCAGGTCACTGAGCTCACTGCAAGTCAATATATGAGACTTAGGAGGTTCCATTAACCGCTGCATTGCCTTTCTCTGTGCGCCGACCAAACCTATCTGCAGTATAAAGCAACAGGGTAACATTTGAGGAGCAGTCATGGAGGTGCTTCTTTGGAGGATAAACACAGCCTTTCCCCCACCACCCCACGCGCTGTTTCCTGCGTGATGCCTCCTAAGTCTCCGCTAGCAAGGAGATAGCCAGAACCAGGCCCACCATTCCAATGCCAAACGGTGTTCCAGACCTTCACAGAAAAGTTAGAAACAAATCATTCAGTTTCTTTGACAGTTCTTTATACCAAGGCCCTCGTTATAAAGGAAGTGTCACTTTCTGGCCTAGAGAGACATTCTATTCAGAGATGGAATGATAAGTTAAGAGTCTGAGGGTCCCTTTGAGAGGAAGCCACAGCAGGATCAGATCCAGCTTTCTCTTTACCAGTATTGCTACCTTGTGTCAGCAGCTTGGACACTTCCACCCCAGACAGCACAGTGAGTCCCCGCTGAGAAAACACCTTGAATCTCCCTGCACCGTGCATGGCTACAGGGACAATGCACACCCTGGTCCTCTGGAAAGACCTCAAATCTTCCTGCTCTGCACACACACTTTTCCAGAAGGCAGGGAGTAGGAAAATTATCTTGTCCCAGTTCTGCTTTCAAAATCAGATCAGAGAATGGGGTAAGACAGGATGTTTCTTCTGGAGCAGGCATGGGCTTCAAGTGGAGCCTCCAGGGGAGGAAGAGAAAGAGCACACCAAAACATGGGGGAAAAAAATGCCTTGTTACAACTTTTATACAGCTATTGAGCCATTAAAGTGACTGATCTGGTCTCATTGTTTTCTCACTCTACATCAAAATATTTCCTGCTTTTTGTCATCAGGAAGTCCAGAGGTCATTTTCTGGTTTCTGTGTTTGTACTAAAATTAGTGGAACCAAAAGAGCTTAGAATAGCCGAGAATCTATCTGTCTCACAGGCTAGTTTTGGGGGTAAGTCCCCACAGTTCCCACATAATGGCTCTCTTCTCATCTCTGTCCCATCATTTAACACTTAGCACTTAATTACTTAGGTTATCTCTATAGTCAGTGATAACAGATAGTCCTCTGCTCCAAGGGGAAGTTTGCTTTCTGTCCTGGAAACTTTCTCTTCCTCCACTTATTAAAACTAAAATTATTTTAAACTACACAAGTTGTAAGCAGTTAAGTTTAGGTTTTATAACTGACTGAAGCTAGGTGAGGTGAATACTGTTCCATGTATCTAAACTTTTAGGTGCCAAAAATCAGTCTAGAATACAGGACAAGGCACTTCGGAAAGATTTATCCCTATTAGATTTCAAATGAGGTTTGACTTGGAAAAACAAACATTGGATTGCTTTAGTAGCATAGGCAGAAGCCTCAGTAAGTCCAAACGAAGCATTACGGGATGTATAATTAGTGTGGACCTTAAAAAGCAACAACTACTATGCTATGCTACTATACTAGAATTATATTTTTCCTTTAAAACAAACAAAAAAAGAGAACTTGGTAGTGAAATTGCATCTTTTTCTAAGGAAGACTTAAAAAAATGCAAGTATTTAACCCAGAGTTTAGGTGAAGAGGAATGTGGTGCTGCATAGTGGTACAAAGGTAGAATGTGAAATGTTCTCAACAAGCAACTGTGAAGAGACAACTGACCAAAAAAACAAGCAAACCTAAGAACAGCAGCAAGTTACTTCCTACCAGTCCTGCACTGCGTTGAACGAGTCCTCGCTGGTGATGTCGTACATGAGGATGAAGCCCATGGCTCCGCGGTAATACGCTGTAGTGATGGTCCTGTACCGCTCCTGTCCAGCTGTGTCCTGGAAGAAACAGGAATATTTAGGCTTTGAGACCCCAGCTCTCAGAAAGAGGAGCTGTAGTTAGGTTCTATAATACGCTGTAGTGATGGTCCTGTACCGCTCCTGTCCAGCTGTGTCCTGGAAGAAACAGGAATATTTAGGCTTTGAGACCCCAGCTCTCAGAAAGAGGAGCTGTAGTTAGGTTCTACATCTGAAATTAGGCAACTACTTTTTTTATCATTATATATTTTAAATTATTCATTTACTCCTACCAAAATGAGCTTCTACTTACGTCTTAGCATTAATTGGGCTTTTGCACCAACTATGAGCTGTTAAATGTGCTTTGACACGTGCACAATTAAAAGCTTAATCAAAGCTGTCAACCCTTAATCATTCTTTTCTGCCTTAGCCTCAATGCAATAATCAAATGTTAGTAGAGTTCACTGAAAGCAACACTTCCAAGCAGAGGCAATGGAAAACAGTCTAGGACGATGCCAGACCAAAGACATTGTTGCACTGCAGCTGAATGCCAGGGACAGGGAATTGATCCTTGACATGGATGCTGCGGGTGACTCAGGTCTTACCTGAAGTTAGAGACAACAGTCTGGGACTTGATGCAATGAAAATTATCCTAGAATATGCATTTAAAAGTGGATCAACAGTCCTCTACCTAATCTATTCCTTCTAGAGCTGCCCTGTGAACCAGAGACAGAAGTCATATGCTTAAAATAGCGCTCATTTTGGAGATATCTATCATTTCAACAAGTTTATTTCATTCACTTTCAGCAAATAGCAACTATGTGAAACAGCTGTGGGGAGCAAATAGCCTTATCTTCAAAACACACACTCAGCACAAGGTATTCATTGCTACAGATGAGCAATTCCGAGATGAACAGTGGTTAGACCTTCAAAACCCACATTTTAAAAGTATTTACTGCTGCTGATTTAAAACTAGTTTAACAAAGTTTCTTTCGTCTAGAAAGAAACTAAGTCCTCTAAAAGTACTTGTCACTCACATAGCTTCAGTAAAAGAACATTTAGTACCTTTCTGAGCTGTAGTATCAGGTTCTGATCTGACACAGCAGATCTCCACAGTGCAACCTTTAAATGTCTACCTTCTTTAGCTCCCATAGCTGCAGCCTTGGTTTTGCTGGCCCTTCCAGGAAGCATGTAAGCCAGCCCAAGGAAAGGAAAACATTAATGATCACTGGTTGTTCTGTGCCAACATATCACAGAGGGGCTCTGTGGGAGGGAATTGCTTATAAATAAGCTCCCTGCAGCTTCCTTATAGGGCTCTGCCTATTCTCAGGGCAGTGTATATCCACAGCTGTATCACTGGGCAAATATCCCACTGGAGACATCATGCAGGAGGATTTTTTTTGTTTCTCTTAGATAAAATCTGGAAAGAGAAGGGATTTTCCCATGAAATGTAGGTGTCTGTAGCAAGACAGGGTGGTCCACTGGCTGAGAAACAGCGCTGGGTGACAAACCCACCCCAGGCCTGTCCCTTACTAGGATGCACAACCTCACTTAGCCGCTAAGGAACTAAACCAACTGTGTCACCAAGGTCTGCCTGCACGACTTAAAGCAGGTTAGGTGTCAGCAACAACATTATTGCTCTGTTTATTCAGAGAGACATGCCAGTTGCTTTATTACAGCCTGATTTCCTCAGGAAATGAAGCTGTCATTTGTCTCCACACAAAATAGTGGGACCTGTGCCCACTATAACTTTTGAACATGTTAAGAACTTTTGGCCAAGTCTGACTAAGGGGAGATGATCTCAAAGACACCA